AACCTTGAGAACATTACTCTAGGGAACAGAAGCCAGACACAGAAGATCATATTATATATAATTCCACTTGTAAGAGATATCCAGAACAGGCATATATATGGAAACAGAAAGTAGGTTAGTAGTTGTGTGGGGCTGGGGGCAAAGGGAACAGGGAATAACAGAAATGGAAGGCTAACAGGTGCAGGATTTCTTTAAGTGGGGTGAAAATGTTCCAAAATTAGATTGTGGTGACGGTTGTGCAACCTTTGAGTATAGTAAATAATTATTATACACTTCATAAATTGTATGGTATGGGAATTACATGTCAATAAATCAGTTAAAAACAGATTACAAAAATATAGAATATTTCTGAACATCTGAGAAACAACTCTGATGAATACTCAGGTTTATATCATTGGTAATGATAGCAGGATATTTATATACTGCCTCATTTCAAAGCAAAACTAAGCTTATTCTACTCCATATAAACCCGTGAAGTACAATGCCCCAAAATATGATTAAAGATAGTGATGTCAGCAAAAATGGAAGAGTAGACTGCTTCACAGAAACGCCAAAAAGCAGAGCAAAATGGATCAGAATACTTTTTCAGAAATCTGGAAAACAGTCAAATGTTCACAACAACCAAGTAAACATAGAACTGAGACAAAGGCAACTTAAAAAACAATAGGCAAGAGTGTGGTGTTTTTACTAGTCCTGTCCTACCCATCTTCTTGGCTGCCCGCATTCTCAGTGTGGGACTCTTGTCTTGGGCTAGACAGGGGGCATTTCTCAAAAAACACTGCAAGACAATTGAATAACCTATTCTGCCTGTGACAAAACACTGAAGTTGAAGAAAACAAGATGTGGCATATATTCAAGAAAATCAACATACACATAATAGAAGTTTCAAATAAGAGGAAAAAGAAAAGGGGGTAGAAAAAAAATTGAAAAAAATGAGTGAAAACATCCAAATTTAATGAAAGTCATAAATCTACACATCCAAGCTGCTCAATAAACTCCAAGGATAAAAGCAAAGAGATCGTCACTGAGACATATTATAATCAAACCGTTGAAAGCCAAAGACAAAATGAGAATCTTATGAGTCAAGAGGGAAGCAACTTGTCACTTGTAAGAGATCCTCAATGGTATTAACAACTGATTTCCCAAAAGCAATCACAGGTGCCAAAAGGCAGTGAAAAGACACATTTAAACTGCTAAAAGAAAAAAAAATCCAAACAAAAATTCTGTATCTAGCAAAACTGTCCTTCAAAAGTAAAGGAGAAACTTAAGACACTCTGAGATACAGCTATGGCAGTTTGTTGTTAGTTACACCTGCCCTATAAGAAATGCTAAATTAGGGAGTCTTTCAGGTAGAAATAAAAGGACACTAAATAGTAAACTGAAGCTGTAAGAAGAAATAAAGAATACTGGTAAAAGTCGTTACATAGGTAAATAACAAAGGTCAGTATTACTGTGTTTTGTGTTTCTAACTCCTATTCACCCCCACCCCACATACGATTTAAAAGGCAAATGCACTGAACAATAATAACATATCTATCTTATTGGGCAGTGTATAAATACTTAATTTGTGACAACTACAACATAATGGGGGAAGAACAGACTGTATACAGGAGTAGAGTTTTTGTATGCTATTGTATGCTATTGAGGGTAAGGTGGTAATAATCTAAAATAGATTCTGTTATAAATTGAAGAGACTAAATTTGCAATCCCAATGGTAACATTTAAGAAAATGACTGAAGATGACACAGAAAAGGAAATGAGTAAAGAATCAAATGGCACACTACTAAAAAAGCAATTAAACACAAAAAAAGCAGCAATGGAAGGATTGAGAAACAAAGAGATACGAAACAGAGAAAACAGCATGGTGGCAGAAGTGAATTCTTCCTTATCAATAATTGCATTGCATGTAGATAGATTAAACTCTCCAAGTAAAAACTAGAGAACAGCAGAAGGGATACAAGAAAATTGATCCTATTAAGAGACTCTAAAGGAGACTCACTTTAGATTCAAAGGCACAAAGTGGAAGAACGGAAAAAGATATTTCAAGCCAACAGAAACCAAAAGAGAGGTGGAATAGCTAACCTAGTATCAGACAAAATAGACTATTAGTCAAAACTGTTACAAGGTGGGGCGGGGGGCGGGAGGGGGGGGTGCCTGGCTGGCTCAGTAGCAAAAGCATGCAACTCCTGATCTCAGAGTTGTGAGTTCAAGCCCCACGTTGGGTGGAAAGATTACTTAAATAAAAATAAAACTTAAAAACAAAAACTGTTACAAGGGGCAATGGAGGACAATAAATTTTAACAGAAACATCAATCCCTCAAGAAGAGACAGCAATTATAAACAACAAAGCTCCAAAATATAGGCACAAATGGACATGATTGAAGGGAGAAACAGTTATACAATAACAGTTGAAGATATCTATACCTACTTTCATTAATGGACAAACAACTATGCAGAAGATAAGGAAATAAAGAATGTGAACAACACTATAAACCCACTAGATGTAACAGACATATATGGGATACTCCCTCCAAAAACACTGCACATGCAACAATCTCCAGAACAGACTACATGTTAGGTGACAGAACAAGTCTCAATAAATTTTAAAAGACTGAAATCATACAGTGTATCTTCTCTGACCACCATGGAATGAAGCCAGAAATCAAGAAAAAGGAAAACTGGAAAAGTCACAAATTTGTGGAAATTAAACAGCATACTCTCAAATAGCCAATGGGGCAAAGAACAATTCACAAGGGAAATTAGAAAATACTTAGAGATGAATGAAAATGAAAACACAACATATAAAAATTTAGGGAATAAAGAAAAAGCAGAGCTCAGAGGGCAATTTCATAGCTGCTGTTTAAGCTGCTGAGTCTGTGGTATTTTGTTATGGCAGCCCAAGCAGACTAATACAACCTAAGTAACTGGAAAGATACACATTCAGCATCCATGAACTGAAATACTAGATACAGTTAAGATGGCAAAACTACCGAAGCAATCTACAGATTCAATGAATGAAATCTCTGTTTTTAAGTTTATTTTAATTTATTTTGAGAGAGAGAGAGAATGTGTGCATGCACACGAGCAAGCAGGGGAGGGCAGAGACAGAGAGGGAAGGAGAAAATTCCAAGGAGGCTCCCTGCTGTCAACAAAGAGCCCTATGTGGGGCTCAATCCCATGACCCTGGAGTCAAGGGCTGAGTCAAAATCAAGAGTTGGGAGCTTCACCAACTGAGCCACCCAGGTACCCCCAATGAATGAAATCTTTATTAAAACTGCAATGGCTTGGGGTGCCTGGGTGGCTCAGTTGGTTAAGCATCTGACTTCAGCTCATGAGTTTCAGCCCCTGTGCTGTCAGTGCCAGGCCTGCCTGGGATTCTCTCTCTCTGCCCACCCCCATCTCAAAAATAAATAAATAAACCTAAAAAAAAATAAATAAATAAACTTCCAATGACTTTTCTGCAGAAATGGAAAAGCTGATAATCAAATTCAGATGGAATCACAAGGGGTCCTGAAGAGTCAAAACAATATTTAAAAGGACTCACACTTCCCCATTTCAAAACTTACTACAAAATTAGTTTTTTCTTTGGCTGATTGTGCTTTTGGTATCCTCTATAAGAATTCATTGTCAAATAATTACCTTTATTTTTGCATTTTCTTCTAAGAATTTTATAGTTTTAGCTCTTATGTTCAGGTTACTGACCCATTTTGAGTTAATTTTTGTGTATGATGTGAGAGAAGGTCCAAAGCCATTTTTTTGCTTGTGGAAATCCAGTTGTCCCAGCATCATTTATTAGAGACTTATTGTTTCCCAACTGGCCTTTTGCACCCTTGTTGAAAATCAGTTGGCAGTAGATATGTGATTTTATTTCTGGACTCTTAGTCCTATTCCATTGGTCTAGGTTTCTGTCCTTACAGCAGTTCCACATAATTCTGATACTTGAATTTCATGAAAATTAAAAAACTTCTGTACATCAAAGGATATCAAGAAAGTGAAAATATACAAAATGGGAGAAAATATTTACAAATCACATATATGATAAGGGTCTAGTATCTAGGATCCAGAATATATAAAGAACTTCTGTAACTCAACAATGAAAAGATAACCCCATCAAAATATGGGCAAAGGACTTGAACAGACACTTCTCCCATGAAGATATGCAAATGACCAACAAGCTTATGAAAACATTCAACATCTTTAGTCATTAGGAAAAGGCAAATCACATGGAGATATCACTTTGTACTCACTAGGATGGTTGGAATAAAAGCCAATTAAGTACTGGCAAAGATTTGGACAAATCAGAATGTTCACTGCTAGGAACATTCACTACTAGGAATGTTGCTGCTAGGAATGTAAAATGGTATAGCCACTATTGAAAACAGTTTGGCAGTTCTTCTAAAAGTTAAAAAAACAATTACCATATGATCCAATCCTAGGAAGATACCCAAAATAATTGAAAACAGGAACTCAGACAAATACTTGTACATGAATGTTCATAGCAGTACTATCCACAAAAGCTAAAAGGTAAAAATAACCCAAATGTCTATTAATGGATGAATGGATAAATAAAATGTAGTAAATGCATACACTGCAATATTATTCAGTCATAAAAAGGAATGAACTATTGATACATGCCACAACATGAACGAGACTGACAACATTACACTAAGTTAAAGAAGACAAAGGTCACATATTATATGATTCCACTTAATATGAAATACCCAGAAGAGATAAATCCACAGAAAGCAGATTGGTATGAGGCCAGAGGCTGAGGTGTAGGAGGGAGAGACGGAGAGAGGATCTGACTGCTTTACGGGTATGAGGTTTTCTTTTGGGGCAATGAAAATATTTTGAAATATTACATTGGTGGTGGTTGCACAATGTTGTGAATGTACTAAATGTCAATGAATTGAACCCTTTAAAAGATGGTTAATTTTATGCTACATGAATTTCACCTCAATAATTAAAAAAAGAACATGATGATAATTTTTTCTACTAACCCGATGAATAATTCCAGCAGAGTGAAGGTGCTTGATTCCACACAGCATCTGATAGAGAAGGTAGGACATTCTTTCATGATCTAGTTCCATCTGAATCACTTGGCAAAGATTTGCATCCATGAGCTCCATGACTATGTAACTTCATGGGTGAGAAAAGATGACAGCTAAAGTGCACAGCAACAATCTAAGAATAATGTATGAATGTAAACTTTTAATTATCACACTTACACATCTTGAAATTCTTCTAGGGATTTCTGTGGTGTGAAAACATTCAAAAGGCCAATTATCTGTGGCAAAAGCAGAGAGACAAAAAATTAGACACCACTGCTGCTTAATAATACTTTCATTTAGGAACTGCAAATACATGGGTTAAAAAAAAATCTACCAATGGTATAAGAATATTAAAATCTTATGTTCTAAGCCCAAGTAATCTCTTCTATTTTACCTAATACAACTTTATGGGCAGGGATTGGGGGTAGGGAGAAAACCAGACCACACAGGATCTTTAGGGGAGTGAAAAATACTCTGCATGATACTATAATGGTAGATATTATGCCATTACACATTAGTCCAAATCCACAGAATGTACAATACAAAAGACAACCCTAATGTAAACTATGGACTCTGTGTAATAAGGACACATTACTGTAGGTTCACTGATTATAGTGAATGCACCAGTCTGGTGGGGGATATGAATAATGAGGGAGGCTATGCATGTGTGGGGGCAGAGAGTATATGGGAAATCTCTGTACCTTCCTCTCAATTTTGCTGTGAACCTAAAAATGCTCTTAAAATTGTACCAACACAAGAGCTCCACATATCCATTCCGTTTATGAATACTCAATTATCAAGGATGCATATTATACAATCATCTACATAATTTGTGAGCAAATTAAAAAAATTTTTTTTTCACATTTAGTCATTTTTGAAAGAGAGAGAGAGCATGAGTAAGGGAGGACCAGAGAGAGAGGGAGACACAGAATCTGAAGCAGGCTCTAGGTTGGTGGAGCAGCTGCTTTGAGCTGTCAGCACAAAGCCCCACGTGGGGCTCGAACTCAGGAACCGCGAGATCATGACCTGAGCCGAAGTCGGACCAAATGAACCACCCAGGTGCCCCAATTTGTGAGCAAATTTTAAATACCTTCCATCAGCTCTTATCTAACTCCCCCATCACCCTCAGTTTTTCATAATACTGAACTTTCCCAGTTTTCTTCATTCCCAGTCCATTCTCTGGTTCATCCACAGACATGCCCTCTTTCCCACCATTCTGTCTTTAATCCTTTTCTCCATCTGCACCCTTTCCCTGGGGGCAATACATGTCTTTTTCTCTAAACATCTCTATGTTGGACAGTTTCCAAATATACATTAAAAGGCCCTGCTTAATTTAGAAGTCTCAAATACACATTGCCATGTCACATGAAAGTCTCACAAAGAATACAAAATAGAACTCATTAGCATTCCTACCCAAACCCTTTACTTTTCCAGAGTGCCTTCTCTTTTACAAAGGCGGCTCAGAGTAATTTTTGACTCCGTTTTCAGTATTTGCACCATAATAAATGTTGAAAAGAATACTATTCCATTCCACTGTCAGTCTGAACTTCAATCTCTTCTTTCCAATTCCCTGCGCTACCATACAGGTAAAGGATTCTGACATCTCATCTAGACTGTTCATGCTGTAATTACTTCTAACATTAGGTTCCCTAACAATGGTTTTCTACAAATCCAGCTACCATTTTACTGCCTATCATATGGTGAAAGAAAGACCTGATCATATTACTCACCTCTTCAAAAACTTACTACCAGCAAAAAAATTTCCCAAACTCTCTTGCAGGAAGTATATTCAGAGACTTCCATGACAAAATATCAACCCACTTTGTCTCCTGCTAAGCCCTCTATTACACTTGATACTTTAGCCATACTAAATTAGTTTAAACAATGATATATTTAAAAACTCTCAATGCCTTTAAAGATACTCTTCCCTGTATCTGTCATATTTACCTACTGAATTCTGTTCCTTTCAAAATTGATGTCTTTTGTAGAGTCTAACAACCTCTATCTAGTCCTTGATGGGTTGCTGAATATTCTCTTTACCTTGTTCCCACAATGTCTTATGTGTTAATATGGCATTTAACACACTGTAGTATAGACTCATTTTCATGACAGCCTCATCCCAATCACACCAGGATCCTTGTTGGAAAGAATTATTCCCTCTTACAGCCCTAGCACAGGGAGATAACTGACACACATTTTTAAAATGTTTATTGACAAATACACTTAGGAATGGGAATATTTTTCTTTTTTTTTTTTTTAATTTTTTTTCAACGTTTTTTATTTATTTTTGGGACAGAGAGAGACAGAGCATGAACGGGGGAGGGGCAGAGAGAGAGGGAGACACAGAATCGGAAACAGGCTCCAGGCTCCGAGCCATCCGCCCAGAGCCTGACGCGGGGCTCGAACTCACAGACCGCGAGATCGTGACCTGGCTGAAGTCGGACGCTTAACCGACTGCGCCACCCAGGAGCCCCTGGGAATATTTTTCTAGACAAACTACATGAGGGAGGAATTTATGTCATTCATCTAAGTACGAAGCTTTGCTTATAAGAGGCATTCAAATATTTGTTCAGTGAATAAATTCAGAAACATAATTTTCAGATCAGAAAAGGTCTAACAAATCTGTTCAAGATAGGGAAAGTGATAATAAGAATGCATCTAGCTGCTCTAAATGAATGAATTCCTGGCTCCTAATTAGATGAACTGCACATCTACAGACTTGTAGAAATAGTAAAACTGTTCTTATCTGAGAAATCCTATAGTACAAGAGAAGTGTTAAAGATGAAAAGCATATAAAAACAAGAGATCAGTAGTTGCTTAGAGCTAAGGTGGATGGGAGAAAGGAACGTGACAGCTACACAATACGGAGATTCTTTCTGAGGTGATGAAAACGTTCTAGAACTGCCTGTAGTCATATACATCAGTGAATACACTAATAACCACTTAATTACACACATTAAATGAACTGTACAGCATGTGAATTGTATCTCAATAAAGGTGCTATAAAAGATTAAGGCAGACAGTGGCCCTTTTTTTTCCTTCAAAAAAGAACAGAAGGGAAATTATATCAATCATAGACTGGACAGCAAACAAAAGTCAAGTGCTGATTAAGTGGGTGATACAGAAGTATGTGAAAGAAGTAACACTTACTAGGAGCAGGTAAAAATTCCCCGAGAAACTGTACTTTCTTCTCTGAATAAAACAACGACAACAAAGAACAGCAGCAGGTCAGAAATGTGACCATGTACTTATATGGAGATTTCAAAAACGCATTTTGAAAATGTCTCCAATCATAATTCCCATGTGAATGAGATGAAGAATTCAGGAGAGATGGATAATTTTTTAGTTACACACACAATTTCTGCTATATAAACAAAGGTCACTAATGAAGTAATGCAGCTATTATGAAGGCATCCTGAGCAAAATTGATAAGTGAAGCCAGCAAGTGAAAAGTCAGAACAAAGGAAAAAGCAACCCCCAACAGTCTGGGAACAGAAACCAGATTTCATGTGAAATTCTAGAGAGAAACAGAAAGTACTATATACTTAATCTCCAAAAGCAAAAAGTAAAAAGAAAGTGAACGATGGGGGGGCACCTGGCTGGCTCTTGCAACTCTTGATTTCAAGGTTTTAATAAGTTCAAGTGCCATGTTGGGTATAGACAGTACTTAAAATTAAAATCTTTATAAAGAAAAAAAGAAAGTGAAAGGTGGGAAAGATGTGACCTATTAGCAGGCTTGTGACAAAGAATAACTTGCTAAGACAATGTGAACCAAACGGTGACCTGACTTCCAAACAGGATTACAATGTCCACGGTTAAGAGGAGACGACAAGCCTCAGTTCCTCTTGAAGGATTTGATCAGACATTAAGTACTGTGTGCTAGGTGACACACCAGTGTGTTCAGAGATAAGTGACCAAGTGGACATACACAAGCATCTATGGAAACAGTAACAAATGCACAGCGATATGAATGCACTTAGTACCACTGAACTGTATGTTTAAAACGGTTAAGATAGTTTTATACTATGTGTATTTTACCACAAAAAAAGGAGGGTGGGAAAAAACATGTTTAGACCAATGAAGAGATTAATCTGTGTAGAGCATGAACTGCTGAAAAGGCAAGACATTACAAAAACACCCATCCATCAGGAATGTAAAAATTCCATCATTCCTGGTTTCCCTATACATAGTGACCCTTGAACAACATGGGTTCAAACTAGGAGGGTTCACTTACACATGGATTTTTTTTCAATACAGTACAGTACTGCGTAAAAATTTTCCTTATGATTTTCATAACATTTCTTTTCTAGCTTACTTTAAGAATACAATACATGTAGGAGTGGCTGGGGGGCTCAGTCAGTTGATTGTCCGCCTCTTGGTTTCAGCTCAGGTCATGATCTCGTGGTTCACGAGTTTAAGCCCTGCATCAGGTTCCACACTAACAGTGCAGAGACTGCTTGGGATTTTTTCTCTCTCTCCTCTCTCTCTCGCCCTGTGCCCCTCCCCAACTCGTGCTCTCTCTCAAAATTAAAAAAAAATAAAGGAATACAATACATGCGATGCACAAAATATGTGTTAATCGACTATTTATATTATTGGTAAGGTTTCCAGTCAATAGTAGGCTATTAGCAGTTAAGTTTGGGGTTGTTGAAAGTTATATGTACATCTCAACTACACAGAGGGTCAGCATCCTTAATGCCCACTTTGCTCAAGGGTCAATTGTATTTAGTTTTATATTCATTCTCTGAACAAATACGTTAGGAGCATCTACTCTACGTCAGTCAGCACTCTTCTAGGTGCCAAGGGTATTGCCTACGTGGATCTTGCCACCCCCAGCAGAGGGCTAACTATGTGAAACAAGCTTTCCATGCCCTCCATTTAGTCGATGGAACCATCTATTTTTGCAGTCGGCTGGCTCAGGAAATAGGGAGTTATTGGCCATGTCCCCAGTGCAAAACTAAGGCAATATCACCACCATCATTGCCACGAAACAGGCTACAAGAGGCATAAGCAGCTCCATCTGAGAGGGAAAGACCACCAGCAAAACCCAGACAAGCAACATGGCTGGCTCCCACCTAAACAAGAATGGTGACACAACTTCTTCGCTGTCACTGACGGACTTTAAACTGTATCTCTTTTTAAACGCTGTTCTTTTTCTCTGGGAGGCCCTTTTTCTTTAACAATCCAATTTTTACCCCATTTTTAAGAATTAGTCTAGGGTCACCCTTCCCCAAAGCATTCCCATTTCATGAAAGCTCACTGCAATCTTCTCTCCCCTGAAATCTCAGCACTTATTTTCCACCCACCATGATATGACAATCAAACCTCTACCGCTTTATCATATTCGGTATTTCACTCTCTGTTATTTGTCTTCAAAATAACACTGTAATAAGCTCCCCCAAATCAGGAGCCTCATCCTTCCCCGACAGTGACTAGTAACTCCAGTACACAGAAACTTGCACAGTTAGTTCTCAAAATGTGGTAAACTGTGTTATCTGCAATCAGAAAGCATGGAGCTTACTGTATTTTATAAACTCCTTTAGACAAATATACCACAAAACATCTCCAGTCAGATGCTTTTGGTTTAGTACTTCATAAAACTGTCCCTTGCATAACTTACTCCTAGTTTATTTCCTCTTGGCTTATAAAAATCATTCCATTAAAGTAATCATGAAAGTATGCTGAAAGTAAGTTTTACAAAGTGTTAACAATTCTCAAAATGAATGAAAGTTATATGCTTAAGTCTTTATAATCATTAGGAAAAAGAATTAGGAATGCTTTCCTAATTTCATTTAAGTATCTTTTGAAGTTTCTGCTAAACTGCTTCATAAAATCACTGACTATCTTCAACTTAAAGTCACCAGTGAGTACCAGCATCACTTAAAAAACCAGGAGTGGGGTAGGGAGAAATGATTTCTATTTTATATCCAATATTAAATAAAATAACTATTGTCAAAGTAAAATGGGAACAATTTCACCTCTGTGCTAAGGCTACAGTTTTCTGAAATGTCAGCCTGCCAGAAAACAAAAAGTAGAAGATGAGATCAAGTCTAAATCAAGTTCTTCTAAAACACCTACCTCTTTTAAAACTCCTTTTGAAAAATAAAAAACTACACAATCTAAATTTCATCAACTGTCTTTCTTTTGATATAATTTAATAAAATTGAGAAAAATTCACACTGCAGACATATATCCCTTTTAGATAATGTTTCAAACCGGAAGAGCATTTAAAGCACCTAATATTTTTAAAAGTTTTGTTGGTTATGTATTCATGAACAAATCTTGATTTCATCTATACTTACAACATTTTCTCAAATGTTCACTTACATTTTTGTGATTAACACATTTCATTAGAACTAGCTCTCTGTAAGCCCGTTTAGCATGAGTCTGATTCTGAAACGGCCGGCTCAGCTTCTTGATTGCAACATTTCTTTCAAGAATGGCATCATAAGCTGCACTGTAACAAGAAATTCAAAAACAACAACAAAGCTTTAAAATCTACAAAACTGAATTTATGAAACATTCATGTAGATTCCTTACTCTCTCCAAAGATAAATGCAACTGTATCAATTTCCAGTGTTTGATAGGCAACATGTTTCTTCTATACCTATTACAGCATATTCCAACAATGTATAGCATTGTTAACTGCTTCTTAAAACGCTAATGGATGCAAAGAGACAATGGACTGTGAAGGCAGAAACTGTACTTGTTAGTTGGGTATCCTCCAAGATTTCCCTAGCATACAATGGGCACTCAATGCATAAATGTTTAATGAGTATTCAGGCCCAATACATAGCTTAAAGCCTGATGAATCCTTCACTTTGCACCTACACCAAGGGCAGACAGGATTAAAGAATACGTGTGGTCATAAATTCTACCCAAAATACTTTCTGAAGAATTCGACATAAGTAGATCACTTCCAACTTCTTTGGACACAACAAAATGAATACAGAAAGAGGAAGGAACATACATACAGAGCTATACAAAGGGTTATTTTACAATGTAAAAGTATTTAAAATTTGTTTTGGAGAAGGGAATTAAAAAATCAAGCCTATAGATATGAATGCTAGATTTCAGGACATTAGAAGATGCTTCATAACTGTTACTGAAACACATAATTCTGTGACATACAGCAACACCATACTCATTACTCTTCATATCTTTACCATATGATACTGACTAAACATCATGTTTTACAAATGACAGACCAGAGACAGTAAAGCACAAATAAGGTAAATTACCTTAAAATTATAGAATGTTATGATTGAAAGAAACTTTTAAAAGCAAAGCGGAGACCAAAAGACTAAGACATAAGGTTATGCTTTTCATACTGGACTACCTAACATACTTGAAGACTTCTGTTTATATATTTGGAAAGTTAGCACACTACTGACTAAAATTATTCTCTCATCCAACCTCACTGTATCAAATGTACTGAAAAAATATGTATTAAGAAATGAGCACTTTGGCATAAATGGACGCATCTATACATAATATATAGGACATAACTTATTTCCTATATATGTACATATGCATACACATAGCAAAACAGACATAAATATCATACTCTTTAGTTAGAAAATACCATATTTGTGTATATGTTCTCCCCAAATTAAAAAACAACACCCACAACATAAGGGGTCATTAAAGATGATTAAAAGTTTTGACTGTTTCAGATAAAGTATGTTTTACTTTTAACCATTAAATTCATTCCTATTAATTTTTTGTGTTAAATCAAAGTAACATTTTAAACTATACAGGTTCAAAAGTATCTGAGTAGGTTGTACTATTTTGTATCCAAGGAAGTTAGATTTCTAATTGTTGATACTTAAATGTGTACAAATTAGAGATCAATCCAGATCCCAATGAATCTTACCATCTATCACTGGGGTCCAAAATAATGCCTTAAAACAATTAATTTCTTCAGTTGACAGTGATAGTAAACACACACAGTGAGTTTAAAAACTTTTTAGCTTAATATTTGTCTATTTCATAATAATCTTTTCTGAAAGAATAAGCAAAATATTTGAAGACACTTATTCCTTAGGACAAAACAGAGGCTGGTTAAGATGGCTTGAGGTCCCTTCCAAAGCAGTTTTTTTTTTTTTTTTTTTTTTAATTCTGGTACACAAATTTCAAAATGTACTTACCTGAGGATAAGTGAAGGTACAGAAAAAACATTTATATATATACTTTTATATATATGTTCACGTATTACATATATATGTGTGTGTGTATGTATATATATATGTATGTATGTGTGTATATAAATACCATATTCCTCACAATAATGTAAATCAGGTGAGAAAACAGGCTTAGCAATATTAATTTGCCATGAATCACAAAGTTAGTACATCATAAAGCTAGAATCTGAACCATAAGCTGGCTTTCAGAATCCTTTTATACCGCATTATTTTCTTTACAATGAATTTGTGGTTGGTTAAATGTGGTTGGTTAAAATGACAACCAGTCAGCCAATACTACTTTTTAAAGTTACCCAAAATACTAAAAATGAAAAAAAAGTTACCCAAATTCTGTAATTTTTCGTATTATAACTTATTTCGAGAGTACAAAAAAGAGAATAAATGCTACTATTCCTATTACAGAAATGTGAGAGATTTTAGCATTTTACCACAATTGCTCTGAATTTTTAAAAAATTCACAGATAAAGTCCCCTTTCTTTGTCTCTATTTTTGGAAGTAGACATTATTCTGAAGAATTTGGTGTCATTAATGTTTTTATAGCTTTCTACATACATATACATCCATAAATATATGGTACTATTTTGTATATTTTCAACTATATATAAATGGTATTATAAGGTATATGTATCCCGCATCTTCCTTTTAAACTCAACAACACTACAACTCTGAAACTGTCTTTGTTGAAACACAGCTCCAGTTCATCCTAAATATTGTATAGTATTTTACTGTATGAATATATCACAATTTTTTATTCTCATGGATAGACTCACTGCTATTAACAATTTTTGCTATTATAAACAGTGTTGCAAAGAAAAGTCTCTTTAGGTACATGTGCAAGTGTTTTTCTGGAACCTGGGGGAGACCTGCAGGGTCATAAACACTTATGATTTTTAATAGATTCTGAGACAAATCTGGTCAAGAAAAGGTAATAAAGATATAATTACGCTAGAGCGAGGCTAAGAATTCCCCAAAGCACTAGATTATGCTAACTTAGTGATCTAAAATCATTAGCAGAACTGTCCCAAAAAGTATTCTACACTTCAGTTTATTAAGAATTATGTTGATCTATAAAGCCTACGCCCACTGCAGAAATTAGCTTGTAAATCAGTTTTAAAGATACATATGAGTTTTTGAAACATACATTGAAAAATGAGCTCACTTCATTCCCCAGTATAAAATAAGATTTCTGAAATTCCAGAGTTTCATTGTAGTGTGAAAATGATGATTAAGTGAAGCTTCTTATTAAAGTAGCTATGGGAATAGATGTATACATGGAATTAACAAGCATGCCACTTATTCTTTCCTGATATAGATTATTTGTCTTTACATGGCTTATGACCACGTATTTAATCATAATTTATACTTAAAGATGACAGTGCTGATTTATAAAGTTGTGTTTAATGAATAATAAAGAACATCAACCCAGAACAAAATTATTACCATGTTATAGCTTTAATTTAAATAACAGTTTTATTTTAACTTTTTTGAAGCAAGTTACATATTTACCAAGGTATCTATATTACAAGAGGAGAAAAGATAGCAGTTAATGATTCTCTGCCTAATTTTTGGAAGTAAAACTTACCATACTATTCCTTGAGCTCCTGAGCCTATAGGTTTTAAATTCTGATATCGTTTCAAAACTGTAAATGTAGAATCTCCAATCTCTACACTATAAAAATTGCTGTCACGCTTGCTTCTGCTCATGATGGCAAACAATTAATTTAATGGCTTCATCCAAATATTCACCGAGAAGCTGCAAAATGGAACAAAATGTGATGTTAACAAAATGAATGTATTTAATCTTAAAATTCGAGTCTTCACTCTGTTCACTGATAGTAACACAGACTGCTACAGCACGGTAAAAGAGCTACTTCATTAAAATACATTAAAACACAAATAGAAAGAAAAAATACCTCAGAACTTGGTTAGCATCTGCCATACTTAAGGAGAGGATTGATAGTTAAAAACAAAACAAAGCTTTTACAAGGGTAAACAATTTCTTCACTGTAAGTCACTAGTATTAATATGCATACATGTCTTAACTTATTGGAAAACTGTAAAAACATTTTAACAAAAGCAAATAATTATAACTAAACATGCTTTTAAGGTCACTTCCATAGTTTAAAATTTAAAACCAGTCATTTTATGTATTTATTATAGATTACTGAAAACTTAATTTTTGTGAGATATTGATACTATCATAATTTGCAAACTCATTTAATGTGACATGGAAGAAACAACCAACTGGCAGGCAAGTAAGTTGGTTAGCATGTATCACCCCTACCTAACAAACACAGTACAGTGCTGTCACCATGCCCCTGACCCCCAACAGCAACACCCAGGGTGTAATGCATATGTTGTTAGAATGGTTGAAAGGATGAGAAGAAGGGTAGAAACTATACAATAAAATAAAAAGATAACAAAGTGAAAAATGAGAAAATATATAGAGAAAAGCATTTAGTATATTAGGATATGAAATAAAGCAATATACTGTTCTGAATTGTGGGGCCTCAGAAGCATAACCTAAGTTCTGACCACAGTTCTTTGCCACATGCCTGATTACAAGCCAAGGAAGTCTTCTTCTACTTGTTTGGGCTGTATTTATTGACATACCTATTACTCATTCTAGACAGAAGTGGCCTATTGCAAAATGCATGCAAGACAGCTCCAACCTACTCCCCACATCCCACAATAAGACTAGAAACCAGTTAAGTCTAAAGAATTACTGTTTGTGTGTGTGGTTGCAAGGCAACGCCTATAAAAACAAAAATAAAAACAAAATCCTGATTAGACTTACAATGCAAAGAATCAATTTAACAAACACTAAGAATTACCAAGTGTCTAACCTGCACCAGGCACTGTATTGCGCCCTAGAGCCAGACTATGTAGAAGCTCATGAACTGGATTCTAACAGTTTAATTCCCAGAGTAGGACAGAAACCACTGAACAGCTCCCTGGCTGCTACCTGGAGATTACACTCCAAGAGGAGGCGGAGCAAGAGTTGTAAAACTAGTTGCAAAACTAGTAAGCTGTTGTACCAATCCAGATAAGAGAGAAAATTAAAATTAATGAGAATTCTTAGATGTGATGGCGTTAAGAATAAACAGAAACTAAACAAAAATGTCCAAACGGTGTAAGCTTTAAAAAAGAAGGTAAATAAATTGAGAGCAATTGAAAAGTCGGATCAATGATTTGGATAAATTAAAGAGGGGCCAGAGAAACACTTCCAAAATTAGTAACTAAAACTAGTCATATAACGCTCCAGAGAGAAGTGTCTGAAATGACAAGTGTCATCAATCTACCTAAGTGGAACCAGAGGCTTAAAGGAAAAAGTTTGCTCATGATTTAAACACTTAGATATACCCGTAGGCTGATCAAATATAGGTATTGGTTACCCAGACCAATTTCTTAACTTAACCTGAATTCCTTCTTGTCTACTGGAGTAGGGAAATAGAAAGAGAAGTGAAAAGAGGAAAAGAAGGAAGCATTGGGTGTCAGCGCCCTCATCAAATATTCTACACATTTATCCTGGAAACTAGGTCGGCCCAGGGCCTGGAAACAGTAATAATGCTCTCTGGTAATTTGCACATATGGCCAGAGACTGAGCACAGAGCCTCCTTAATGGCAAGGAAAGGCTTCTCTTTATTCTCAGAACAGAATGGCCCAGGAGCAGGAGTGCCCATGGTATGCACGCAGAAGTCTAGACTAACCTGTGGCAGCAGCTGAGCAATGATAGCTACAACACCCCAGAACAGAGCAGGGATAGCAGGCAGAGTACCCAAGGTTAAGTAGGCAGACCCAGCCAGTAGTAACCTTTGTAGAAGCCACAGCTGCCACTCCTACAAAAAGGAAATAGAAAACTCTACTCACTTACATTATCAGCTGTACAATATTTACCGGCACGCCTGAGTAAAAATCTATGTTGGGTACCAAAACACAATAGTATTCAGCATCTGGCCATCCACAGAACTTGCAGTTAAGACAGATAAGGAGACCTTACATTGCTTAGAATCTGCTGGTGTATCACTATGGTTGTGATAAGAGCAGTGAAGGGAAAGGACAGGATGCTGATAGAAGCAAGCCTGCTAGTCTGGGCTCAAGAAAAAATTCCCTTTATGCTGTGATGTCTGAGCAGGATCTGAACACAGATTATGAGTTAACCAGACACGGAAATAAGGGAGTTTTCTAGGCAGAACAATCTATGCTGCATCCCTTTTTACAACCCAATAGTATTCCATTGTGTGGATATACCATTTGGACATGTGCATTGTTGCCAGTCTGGAGGTTATTACAAATAACGCTAGTATAAACATTCACACTCCCCCTGCCATTCATCTTGGGTAAATACCTAGGAATGGGGTTTTTGACTCTTACGTTTAATTTTATAAGAAATTGCCAAACTGTTTTCCAAAGTGGCCATACCATTTTTCATTCCTACCAGCAAAGTAAGTAAAAGTAAGCAAAAGTAAGCAAAGTAACCTTCTTGTGATTGCCAATTTCTTGTGATTTTACATTTTACTAGCGGGTGCACAGTGGTATTTCACTGTGGCTTACATTTGCATTTCCTAATAATTAATGATGCTGAACATTTTTTCATGGGCTTATATGCTACATCTTTTTTTTTTTTGTGAAGTAGCTAATTAATTATTTTGCCCATTTAAAAATATGATTGTTTTGGTGCTTATTTATATATTCTGGATATACATCCTTTATCAGATGTGCAAGCATTTTTTCCCAGTCTGTGGCTTGCTTTTCTATTTTAACAGTGTCTTTTTCTTAAAACTGTTTACCGTGAAATAATTTTAAACCAACACAGATGTTACAAAAATAGTACAGAGTTCCTGGCAATGCTTCACCCAGCTTCACTCAAATGAGAGCATTTGACATAACCATAGTACAATTATCAAAAATTGGTATTTGATAGAGAAAGTTTACATTGGTACATACTATCAGCCAACAAGGAAACGGACATTGTTCAGATTTTACTTGTTTTTATATGTACTTTGTGTGTGTGTGTACAGTTCTATGTAGATTTATCACATACACCTATTAGGGTAATCTCTATCACAATCAGAATACAGAAGTGTTTCATCTCACCAAAGAAAATCCTTCATGTTATCCCTGTATATAATCACACTTTCTTGCCAACCCTACCCCTGGCAGTTTGATCTGTTTCCACCACTATCATTTTTTTTCATTTAAATAATGTTATATAAATGGAATCACATAATATGTAATCCTTTATATATATTACGGTTCCCAATATATAGGCCTTGCAAAATTTTGTTCAGTTTGTCCTTAAGTATTAATATTCTGGGTGCTATTGTAAATGTTTTCATGTTAATTAATTTTTAAATTTTCAACTGTTCATTGGTAGCACACAGAAATACAATCTTCTGTATAATAACTTTGTACAAAGCTCATTTATTAGTCTTAGTAGCCTTTTTTGTGGATTCTTTGAGATGTCCTACATACACAGTTCCATTTCTTCATTTCCAACTTGGAGGCCTCTGACTTCCTTTTCTTGGCCCACTGTACTAACTATAATTTCCATACAATCCAGAATAGAAGTGGCAAGAGCAAACAAACATCATTCCCTTGGTTCCTGATCTTAGAGAAAGCATTTAGTCTTTCATCACTAAGTATGATGTAAATGACAGGATTTTACGAGATGCCATTTAACAAGATAAGAAAGTTCTCCTTATGGCCTATTTCACTGAGAGTTTTTAGTATTAATGAGTACTGAATGTTGTCAAATGACTTTTCTGGATCTATTGAGATAAGAATATAGTTTTGCCTTCTTAGTTGGTTTATATGATGAATTACACTGATGATTTTCAAATGTTGAACCAACCTGTATTCTTGTAATGAATCCCACTTAGTCAAAAGTATCCTTTTTATTTTAATTCACTTGGCTTAAACTGTGTCGAAGGTTTTTCAATTTATTTTTATAGGGAATACTGGTCTGTAGTTTTCTTTCACGGTGAATGTAATGAGTTGGGAAGTGTTCCCTCCTCTTTTTCTGAAAGACTCTGTGTAGAAGTGGTATTATTTGATCTTGGAATGTCTGATAAAATGTCCCTGGAAAGCCTTCAAGGACAAGGGTTTTTTTGTGGAAAGGTTTTCATTGCAAATTAAAAAAAAAAAAAAAAAAAAAAAACGAATACACACATACAGAGAGGACTATTCAGGCTTTCGATTTCTTCTTAAACGAGGTTTGGTAGTTCTGTGTTTTTCAAGGAATTTGCTAATTTCATCTAAGTTGTCCAATGTGATGTCTACAGGATCTGTAATCATGTACCCTCTTTCATCCCTGTTATTATAATCCATCTTTTCTCTTTTTTCCGGATTAATCTGGCTAGAATTTTATCACTCTTATTGACCATTTTAAAAAGTTAGAATTTAATTTCTGGTTTTCTGTCTTTTTATACTTTTCTATTTCACTACTTCCTGCTCTTGTCTTTATTTCCTTCTTTTTGCTTGTTTTGGGATTGCTCTTCTACTTTCTTATAATGGAAGCTTAAAAGTACTGGTTTGAAAAATTTTTTAAAATAATATAAACATTTAATACCATAATTTGCTCACCACTTTAGCTTCTACCCATAATTTATCATCATATCCATATTCAATAATAAAATAAATACAAACACTTGAATAGGCTTTACTTAATGCCAGGTCCTATTTCAAGTGCTTTATAAATTTATTTTAATCCTCACAAGAGGCCTATGGATGTTTTCTAGTTGTTTATGGCTA